GTTAGCAATATGCTAACTTACCAACACTAAATTACAAATCGCACACTATTTGCACTATAAGTGCGCTAGACTTTTAATACATGGATACTCCTTCTAGCGAATTACTTAACCTTGCTGAAAAAAGGCTGGTAGGCTGATTTTAGCTAGCTGGCCAGCCTGGTTTTAGAGGGGGTTTGGCCATTTCCAGGCTGGTTTCCAACTATTTCCAGCCTGGTCTTAGCTGGTCAGGCTGGGAGATGACCAGCTAAAAGCAGCCTGACCAGCCCAACCAGGCTGGGAGCCCAGCTAAAACCAGCTGTGTCCATCTTAATCCAGGCTGGTTAAGCTGGTTTTAGTTGGTTTTAGCAGGTCATTTTCCAGCCTGACCAGCTAAGACCAGGCTGGAAATGGCTGGAAACCAGCCTGGAAATGGCCAACACCCTTCTAAAACCAGGCTGGTCAACCAGCTAAAACCAGCCAACCAGCTTAGGCAGGTTTAAGCTGGATTTTTAAGCAGGGAAGTAGCCAATATCTTTACAAAGATATTAGCCTTTATGCAATAGCGGATATAAAATGTACTTCAAGCTAATGAGCTAATGAGCTAATTCCAAATCGCTAACTATTTGCACTACGGAGTGTGCTAGATTTGTCTGGCACATGAATATTTCAAGCTAATGAGCTAATGCTAACAGAACACAATATATAGGCTCGAGGTATCAGGAGGGAATATTCTGGCTACACAACTATGTGGTTTTAGAGCACAAAAGAACTGTGAAAATTTGGATTGGGGCTTGATAAATCCCATGAGACCTAAAAATGAGGCCATATTTGATGAATGATAAGGCGCAGAACTTCTTTGAGAAACATGAGCGATGTGTTAATAGTAATGAGAAATAGGGCGCCTGTAAGCGATAAAATAAGGCTGGTGTTCACTAACCTTGCTCCTTCTTAAAGTCGTTTTCCGTCAGAAACGCTGGAGTCATGAGCTCCCCGACGGGGGGCTGGATTGAAACGTAGAACTTGCGCGTGTGAGTACTGAAACACAAATTTTGAAAAACAGATATATATATTATGTATATAATTTATGAATAATGTAACTATATTTATAATTTGTGATTTATAATGTACCTATTTATTATAAATATTTTATAAACTAAATATAAAATGCTTACACACACGTTATATATGTATAAGGGTCAGATGGTAGGATCACAATTTGGCGTCAACAACATCGAAGCATGGATTCATTCTGCTTGTATCAACAGTTCTGGCTGGTGGTCTTGGTGTAATGGAGTTGGGGATATTTTCTTGGCATGCTTTCGGCCCACTAGTACCAACTGAGCATTGAATTTTTGAATTGAATTTTATTTGACAGATTTTAGACAAACTGTACAAAAAGTATTCCATACACTTTGTTAAAAAAAACTGTCGAGGATAAAAACACAATAAAGCCCTGGGCTTATTTCCATTGTGGTCCTCTGTTAAATTAAAACAATGTATGGCTTCATAATACTAATGAAGAATAAAACAAACAGTCGCCACAGCGGTACAAACAGCCAACCTATCCAGCACAATGTCCCTCTAGCCGCCAACCTATTCACACTCAAGTAACATAATTTAAAAAATCCTCATCCACCATGCAAAACTAATTATCCTCATCAAACAACCATCTTTTAATAGCTTTTTTGAACAACCTTAAATCTTTTATTTCCTTGATTGCTTTTGGTAGTTTGTTCCACATGATTGCACTTGTATATAAAAACATATTTTTCCCCACTAAACTTCTAAATTTAAATAAACAAATATTAAAATCCCAACTCCTAGTACTGTATGAATGCTGTTGCCTCACCATTTGAAAATAGTTCATCAAATAGCTAGGAACCACATTATTAAACATTTTACGTACCATTCCCAGTTTTAAAAAACACACTCTATTACTAACAGTTAACATACCTAATTTATTAAAAGACTCTTTGTGCAAATGTGCTCTAGGATGCATTTTTAAAATTATTCGTACTAATTTATTTTGTGCCTTTTGCAATTTCTCCTTCAAATTTTGTGAGCAGCTACTGTACCAAAATGACGTAGCATAATCAAAATGGGGTTGAATTAAAGCTCCTGCCAACAATTGTAAAGAATGAACATCCAAAAGATCAGATTGCCTTGCTAAAAACCTAATTTTTCCACAAATCTTCGTAATAACTTTTTTTGCCATAGCATCTCCTGATAATTTATTATCTATTAAGCAACCCAAATAGTTTATCACATTTTTTGACAGAATTTTCCAATCATTAATCTTAACTACCAAATTATCATCTTTTTTTAATTTCACTCTTGAAGCAAATAAAATAGCCTCTGTTTTACCCATGTGTAAAGAAAGTTTGTTGTCTAAAAACCAGTTGTAAACACTTTTTAACTGTGAACTCATAATTTCTTCCAGGGCCCTTTTGTCATGATGAGATACTAAAATTGCGGCATCATCAGCATAAAGATAGAGCTCCTCTGAACACGCTATTTTTAAATCATTAATATATAAAAGAAAAAATAATGGACCTAAAATACTTCCTTGAGGTACTCCACAGTTGATTGATAAGGGAGCAGATAATATACCCTTTATATCGACTCTCTGGTTTCTATCATGCAGATATGACTGAACCCACTTTAAAGACACTTTATCAAATCCAATTGCCTTTAATTTATATAGTAAAATTTGATGGTCCACAGTGTCAAAAGCCTTCTGAAGGTCCAGCAGCACCATTCCACAATAGTTGCCACCATCTACAGCTCTCCGTATTTTGTCTGTCATATGTAATATACATGTCTCGGTGGAATGCAATGCTCTAAAACCTGACTGTAACTCATACAAAATATGTTTTTTAGTAATGTAGTTGACTATCTGTTCGTGTACAATTTTTTCCAGAATTTTAGACATAACCCCTAAGATTGATACAGGTCTATAGTTAATCATATCTAATGTACTTCCTTTTTTATATAATGGTATAACTCTAGCACTTTTAAAATCACATGGTATTTTCCCTTGTTCAATAGATAAGTTTAAAATATGTGACACCAAGGGGGCAATCACTTTAACAGAGTCTTTAAAAAATCTAGCAGGAATATTATCAACTCCAGGAGCCTTATTTAATTTTAACTCACTAATAATTTTTAAAACTTCACTTTCTGTAACAGGTCTCAGACTAAAAGAATCCGGCAAAATGTCCTGTTGTCTATAAAAAGAAAACACTCTATCTTCATTGTAAATATCAGGTTGCCCTGGAAGCTGACCACATAATTTTTTTGCTAACAATATAAAATACTGATTAAAAGATTCGGCAATATCCTTCGGATGAACTATTAATTTGTCTTCTACCTTTAAGTTAATTTTAGATGATTTCCTACTTTTAGCATTTGAATAACCTAAATTTCTCAGTACACCCCAAAGTTTTTTTGGATCAAATTTATTTTCATTGATCTTATCCTTAAAAAAAACCCTTTTTGCTTCTCTTATTTTGTTCCTAACCTCATTTCTCTTTAATTTATAAAACTCATAACTGCTACAATCACTATCCTTCCTAAACTTGGCAAAACTCTCATCTCTTATCTTTAACAGTTGTAAAATTTCATCTGTAATCCAAGGGTCTGATCTTTGTTTAACTCTTATTTTTTTATATGGTGCTATTTTATTCAAAGCATTACTGAACAGATCCTTAAAACAATCCCATGCTGCCTCCACATCCTTGGATCCCCATACCCCGGACCAATCAACTTTATCCAATATATCACAAAATAAATTAGGACTATAATTCTTCATTGACCTCACTAAAACAGTATTATGACCCATAAGCTTCACCTTTTGCACTTTTCTACATAAATATACTAAAAAATGATCACTCATACTACACTCAATAACACCACTACAACTTATCTTATCTGAATCAGATGTAAGAATCAAATCTATAATAGACTGCGATTTGGGAGTAATTCTAGTTGGAACCTTAATAATTTGCTTCAATCCAAAAAAATCTGAAAAATGTTTAAAAGCCTTATATAACACAGCGTCCACATTTAACATATCAGTATTTAAATCCCCACATATTATAATTTCCGATCCATGGGTTTTCACAAAATCATTTAAACTTTCGTCCAACAATTCATAAAAATTACTTTGATCTGGTGGCCGATACAAGTTTCCAATTAAAATAGGTTTACTCTTTGGTAATAAAACGTTCACCCACACAGCTTCAATGGATGCATTATTCATCTCATTTCTAACATTAAAAGACAAATCCGATCTTATATAAACACATACGCCACCACCATTACGATTTCGGTCTCTTCTTATCAAACTATAATTCGCAATTTCAATTTCTGAGTCCAACACTGAACCGTCCAACCAAGTTTCACTACACCCAAATACCGACAACCGTAGATCCGAACACAACAGTCTTAGCTCGGAAATCTTTGGCAGAAGACTCCTTACGTTTAAATGAGCAATACGTAGACCTTTAGATGATCTCTTGAAGTCCGCATCATGAATAACATTTTGATGATATGCGCTTACCGGAGAATCCAAGTTCAAAGACGAAACCACCTGTTTACTCGCAGGCTCCATACATACGGGTCGAAGGAAACGGTCCTCATGGTAGACGACACCAGCCGGCATTCCCTGAGCAGTTCGCACATCTCTCGCTTCATCGTGCGCAGATGACAAACTATCCCAGTTTTCTGCAATAAAACTCCATTCCTCTGAAATCGCTGGTCTCCGACACTCTTCGCCGCCCGCACGCCGTACATCAAAGCGTGACTTTACTATAATATCTCCTGGCTGCTGACATCCTCCTGCTGCCGGGCCAGGGCATGGATGAACATCACCAGACAAAAGTAAGCATATAATTATAATTGATCCATCGCTTCTTCGTTGTTTTCTTTTACTCCCATTTTTCTTCGTACACGGAACTGCCCACGGATGGGATAGAAACGACTCGTAAACAATATTCGTTCCCATGCCGAAATGTCTCTCCGTCATATCTCTACATTGTGTACCTGAGTATTGTTGTTTACCATGTCCATCTCTTTATGACCACAGTTTACCCATCTTCTGATGGCTAATTCCATCAGGATAACGCAACATGTCATAAAGCGCGAATCATCTCAGACTGGTTTCTTGAACATGACAATGAGTTCACTGTACTCAAATGGCCTCCACAGTCACCAGATCCCAATGCAATAGAGCATCTTTGGAATGTGGTGGAACGGGAGATTCGCATCATGGATGTGCAGCTGACAAATCTGCAGCAACTGCGTGATGCTATCATGTCAGTATGGACCAAAACCTCTGAGGAATATTTCCAGTACCTTGTTGAATCTATGCCACAAAGGATTAAGGCAGTTCTGAAGGCAAAAAGGGGTCCAACATGATACTAGTAAGGTTTAGCTAATAAATAGGTGAATATTTTTCATTATTTTTATATTTTAATTATGTATTCCATCAATTATTTAGTGCATATTAATTTAGCATGTATATCTAAATAAAAATGTAAAACATCTATTTACTGAAAACATTTTAGATATCATATGTGCTTTAGTTGTTTAGAAGTGAAGAACATTCAGGAAACCTCAGTTATTCTCACTGTCGGTACACATCATCATACTGTAGGTGCATGTGAGGAAGCAGAAGTGTGTAATTCAGCTGCCTTTACACACTCACCACAGCTGGAAGTTTGCTGCTTGCGTAGAATCACAGAAATCTATTCCCATCACCACGGTAACCGATTCATTCGCCGCTAACACCTCTGAAAGAACAATGCAGACGGTACAAAAATAAAGTCACAGAAAAGCGCCTACACAGACAGTGCCCAAGGATAACCTACTGTTAATCTGAAATAACATGATGGTAACGATGCTAACAGGAATTCACGATTCGCTACCATTATTTAGTACAGTATGTTGCTAGCCTGTCTCTTGCATGGATAAAGTTGCTAACAAATGCAACTAAGATGAATTAGCTAACTTGAATTAGTTTGTTGCTAGCATGTTTCTAGCATGGATAATGTTGCTAACAGAAGCAACTAACATGAATTAGTATGTTGCTAGCATGTTTCTAGCATGGATAATATTGCTAACAGAAGCAACTAACATGAATTAGTATGTTGCTAGCATGTTTCTAGCATGGATAATGTTGCTAACAGATGCAACTAACATGAATTAGCATGCCGCTAACATGTTTCTAGCATGAATAATGTTGCCAAAGGAAGCAACTAACATGAATTTGCTGACATGAATTAGTATGTTGCTAGCATGTTTATAGCATGGATAATATTGCTAACAGAAGCAACTAACATGAATTAGTATGTTGCTAGCATGTTTCTAGCATGGATAATCTTGCTAACATATGCAGCTAACATGAATTACAGTATGTTGCTAGCATGTTTCTAGCATTGATAATGTTGCTAAAAGATGCAACACACATCAATTAGCATGTCGCTAATATGTTTCTAGCATGAATAATGTTGCCAAAGGAAGCAACTAACATGAATTTGCTAACGTGAATTAGTATGTTGCTAGCATGTTTCTAACATGGATAATGTTGCTAACAGATGCAACTAACATACATTAGCTACCATGAATTGGTTTGTCGCTTGCATGTTTCTAGCATGGATAATGTTGCTAAAGGACGCAACTAAAATGAATTTGCTAACATGAATTAGTATTTCGCTGCCATGTTTCTAGCATGGATAATCTTGCTAACAGATGCAACTAACATGAATTAGTATGTCGCTACCATGTTTCTAGTATGGATAATCTTGCTAACAGATGCAACTAACATGAGTTAGCATGTCGCTAACCGGTTTCTAGCACGAATAATGTTGCTAAAGTAAGCAACTACATGAATTTGCTAACATGAATTAGTATGTTGATAGCATGTGTTTAGCATGGATAATGTTGCTAAAGGACGCAACTAAAACAAATTTCCTAACCTGAATTAGTATGTTGCTAGCATGTTTCTAGCATGGACAATATTGCTAAGAGAAGCAACTAACATGAATTAATATGTCGCTAGTTTGTTTTTAGCATAGATAATCTTGCTAACAAATGCAACTAACATGAATTAGCATGTCGTTAACATGTTTCTAGCATGAATAATGTTGCCAAAGGAAGCAACTAACATGAATAT